CAGCCAACAAATATTAGTTTTATAATATTCAACTTCGATGTCAACGATAATGGGCTTGTCGATTAAGAGTTTTACGAGAATTAACTAAATTAAATGTGCTGCATAAAATTTATTATTATTATTTCAAATGTCAGAGTAAAGTTTGATAGTGAATGTTTCAATTTTGAACATGTGCAAATTTAAATTCATAAAAAGTTTCGTCTTTTGAATTGTATAACGGGCCACAATACCAGACTAGTTATGTGCCCAGGCAGGTTAAAATAATCGAAATAAAACTAGTTTTATTTACATAAAAGGATTGACTTTCAAGCTACGCGTTGTTATAAGAATATTTCAAAAGAAAAAAAAGTAACATCTCATATGGTTACAAATTCCCTAGGTGGCGCTTCGAAGAATAAAGAAATTGTAACTCTATAATAAAAATGTAAAAACACTTGATAAAGAAAATCATGACCCATAAAATTTTCCCCAATATCTTGTATTATTAATGATAAATTGTCCAGACATTAGCTATTTTATCTCAAGAGTACACATTGATATCAGTGCATAAAAACATACTTGTCCCTGATTATACTAATGGTAGATTTTCTCAATAAACTTTATATTTAGGTTCGAACCCTCAAATCAGTAAAGGCACCTTAATTGTAATGCCCATAACCAACAACGATTCCTACAGAGAAGATAAAACAAAGTGGGATGTGCGACTACAGAGTCGTGATCGTTCTAAGATAACTCTCCAAGTGCACGTTCCGGCTTCCGTGGGAGTTGGGATTTGGAAGATGAAAGTTACTTCACAATTGAAGTCAAAAGATGATGAACCAGTCTCTTCCCCGGAAACGTATGAATGCAAGGAGAACATTTATGTTCTGTTTAACCCATGGAGCAAAGGTGAGGTTAAGAGTAAAAATATTCTTCATTAAACCTATGTTTTACAAAGTGAATTTTCTGATGAAATAAAAGTGCTAAGAATACTAACGAGACATAATTTTTTTCTTGGTCAACAGATGACTCTGTCTACATGCAAGATGATAAAATGAAAAAAGAATACGTTTTGAATGACGTGGGAAAGATTTATGTAGGCTCCTTTAACTACCCAAATGGAAGACAGTGGATTTTTGGGCAGGTAATAAATGTTTAATAAGTTGAATAAAACTGACATTTCTCTCATGTTTGATTGAGTCTGAATAATAAACTTTAAGTCTTTTCAAAAATACTTCATATTTCATGTCAGGTTCTAAACAGATCTACAGCACAAGTCTATCAATTCAAATATTATCGATAAGTGGAGTATATTTTATATTTCAGTTTAAAGACTCGGTCCTTCCGGCTTGCATGTTTCTTTTGGAACGTTCTCGTCTTGATTACAGTGCCAGGACTAATCCAGTCAAAGTAGCCCGTGCTGTGTCGGCAATGGTAAGATTTCTTTGAGTTAGGAAATATTCATTATGAGTATTACCTAATATTATCTTAATATAAATACATTCGCTTTTCCACATTAATAACATTGAGATGTGTACTTTTTTCACTTCTTTGTGTCAGGAAATCATTTGTAACAGTACAATAATTGTTTTCACGAACTTCAGTGACTAAGTTCGATTGATGTTTATATTTCAAGACTTACTATACATTGTACATGTAGCTAATAGTTCATGTAATAAATGCATGATCGGAAATGATCTTTTTACTTTTGTTTGGATTAAAGGTAAACAGCCTTAACGACAACGGTGTGCTAATAGGTAGATGGCATGAGCCTTATGATGATGGTGTCGCCCCCTGGAAGTGGACTGGAAGTGCTGCCATCTTAGAAAAGTTCATGAAAAACGGAGGAGATCCAGTGAAATATGGACAGTGCTGGGTATTTGCTGGTGTATGCAATACCGGTAGGCGTCGCATTTGTCTGCCTTTATGATCTGAAAACTAACTTTTATTAGCTAGATGTGGCAAAATGCAGATTGATTATTTCTTTGAATATCATACAGCTGTCATCATCAAATTAAATCGAAAAATCAGTAATGTAAAAATCATTACTTTACTGAAAGAAATTATGAACACCCAAAGTTATTTGTGTGACAATAAATATAACAACTTATTATAATAAATTTGTACAAAAAATATTCATTAACTTTATCTTTAGTAAACATTTCAAGAAAATGTAAGCATAACGTATGAAGGCATACACGCTTCATTAGATTAATTTTTTATTTGTTTGTTGTATATGTTAATAAAAACTAGTTATTTCTGTTTTTGATTAATAGATCAAATTAAAATGAATGAAACCACTGTATAATCTTATCAAAATACAAATTCTGAAACACTTATTAACTTTAATCTTTAACAGAGCTGAAACAAAGTTCGAAATTGGCCGACAGGGGAAGTCCCAAGGCTCGGCAAACTATAATGATAAAACTCACAATAAATGTTTGCTAAAGCACTTTAGCAACCGACAAAATTGTAGTAAGTAAAGTTCCATGTTATACAGTAAATATTACAACAATAACTTGCACTATTAAAATCACTATATTACTTCCGTTTATCGCTATTATTAAGATATTCTTAGGCATGTAGTGGTATTAACTGGAGGTGTTAAGACACTGAAATATCTATCATAAATTTGTGTGAATGATGATGCAGATGCCACATTAACCATTGACAAACTTTTTAACGAAAGAGGAGATCAAATGTCCGGAGGAACAAATGATTCAATATGGTATTTAAATTTTTATGTTCTTTTACTGCTATAATATTGTTCTAAAGAACTGTTTATTAATGACCTGTTAAGATAAGATATAATTTCTAACCGCTTTAGTTTAGGTTTATATCGAGTTCATATATTACTATTTCTTGTACATATTACTTCATATACAATTTTAGAAAATATGACCCTTAAACTCTTAAAAATTAGAGCAAAAGAGCATATTATAAAAGCATGTTTATATTTATCTTAATGATCTAAACATCCTTTAACAATCGATCACCAATCATGTTAAACAAATGTGTTATTCTGTATGGAGTTGTAAATGAGTTTAGGGGGAGGATCAAATCAATGTGTTAAACATGGTTTATGTATTTTATAAATAACTCTTTATTCTGTGGTTAGTTAAACAGTATTTGTTTTTACCAAAGAATAAAACTCGAATACGGGTCTAAGTGCTGTGTTAACGAAATATAAAAAGGTAAGCTTTAATTAAATATCAAGGTATCACAGTACGAAACTCAATTACTTTCTTTAGTTAACTTCGAATTAAAAACAGAGGGAGATTTATTAACTTACTCGGCAACTCGTGTTTCAGGAACTTCCATGTATGGAATGAGTGTTGGATGGCAAGAGCTGACCTTCCTGTAGGCTACGGAGGATGGCAAATTGTTGACGCCACTCCACAGGAAACCAGCGAAGGTATATACAAATTATATTTTCTCTGCAAGTGTATTAACATGCATTTATGTATGTATGAGTATATGTAGATATTTATATTTATCAAAACACGCAAATTCAAAAGTATGGCCCTCCAGTGGCACAGCGGTATGTCTGGGCAGAGCACAGATAGCCCATTGTGTAGTTTGGTGCTTAATCACAAACAAACAATCAAAAGTATGAGGGTCGTTCATCAACTAATTTATTGCTGTATAAAGTAAACGATTATGATCATCATAGATTCCTTTCGGAAAACATTTACTTATTTACAAAATATACACCTGAGGTAAACTGTCTTTTATGTAATGACTCGTGGTCTTGATTTTGTAATTCAATATTAAACTCAGTTCAAGCAAGATTCATAGTTTCAGAGTTAAAAAAATGTAAGTGAATGTGACAAATTACTTTTTAGTTTTAAGTTCTGGGAATGTAATGAGAGATATGTTTTTTATATATTCATCCAGGTATATATCAGTTAGGCCCAGCACCTCAACTAGCCGTGAAAAGAGGGGAAGTTGGATACAGGTACGACGTCCCTTTCGTCTTCGCTGAAGTCAATGCAGACATCGTGTACTGGCAGAAAGACCGAAAAGCGGAAACTGGCTGGAAAAAAATGAAAACAAACACTAGACAGTACGTATTTTTAAACGTTACGTTTACGGATTCTTGTGGCGAGTTGTGGGCTAGGCATAGCCTAATGATTAGCATGTAGGGCTGCGTATCAAGGGTCCGTACATCATATTCTCAGCTGTAAGCGCGTTATAAGAGTGACAGTGGATAAAGAACTTGCAGCGGCTGATACTGCTGTTTGGCTTCTTTTCCTCTGACCGATAGTTCAAACTCAGGGACGGGTATACCTGAATAATGGGGTCTCCTTGTTTAGTATCATTGCGTACCTAGTTTCTCTCGTACAACTTTTTTTAAACCCACTGTGTAGCTTTGCACTACAAACAAAACAAACGAACTTTCCATTAGATAAGTGTTTAAAATGAATGACGTCAGTTCATTTTTATAAACATAAACTCATTACTTACCTTCTTTGTTTTTATACTCGTAAGTGATATCCTCAGCATCCTTGTTTCCAAAATCATCATCAACCCCAGCTTTCTTGGTAAGTATAAGACGGCCAACGCTATGATTTTAGAAGAAAAAAGTTAAATAGATTCGTATTGACTTTGAAGCACGCTAATTCTCAAATGAACCAAGTTAGAATTGTAGAATTAAACTTAAGAAGAAACAGAAATGATGTAACGCCTCTCAATAATTCGTTAATAACGGATATAGCATTGAATATTTATGTCAACTAATAAACACCCATATTCTAAGCAATAATTGAAACTAGGCGTAATATCAAATTCCACCATTTTTTAATTACGTTCATTAGGAATTGATCTTTGAGATATAACATAATAGAAGAAATGTTTATCTGGTCGGACATATTTTTATGCTGTATATAGTCCAGTTTAGGGAAAGAAGTGTGCTTTAAATAGATAAGATAACGAGGTATTTTTTAACTAAAGTGTCATCGTGTTCAAAAACATGAACAAGTTCTCAAGAACCATAATTTTCAACCTGAATGGCACCTTATCGGTCCCTGCAGGACACAAATGAAATATTAAACCCAAACTAGTTTTTTCTGGGCAAAAATATTTTATAATGAAGAGAGAATGTCTGTACTGAACGCTACCAACAACGATATCGTGAGACACAGATTCGATCGACCTGTTGAAAAAGAAGACGTTTCTTTCGAGCTGTTGGAGAGTAAGAAAGTGATGATTGGGCAGTCATTCGATGTAACAATGAAGATTAAGAATCTGAGTAGCAAGCCCAGAACAGTGTCAGCCATATTGTCAGCCAGCAGCGTTTACTACACTGGAATTACGGCTAAAAAGTTAAAACGAAAGAGCGATAAATTAATCCTTCAACCTCAGCAAGGTACGTTTACATCGTCTAAATTCACCTTTCTTGCATCCATATGACTGTCACTGATTAAAAAATGTGAGCTGTTTATAAAAATTCTGAAGAACCTGATTATTATATGTAAGGTAATTATAAACCGTGCAGGTGTTGGTGTTTAAGAATTAAATATTATTTCAAATTAGACTTTCGAGAATACTATAAATGCTTAATATGAAATTGTAATATTTGTTCAATAAACCAAGTTTCATAGTGAAGTTTAACAGAGCTGTACTTAAAATGATAAACACTGTTGTACCAATCCAACAGAGCTGTTCTTGAATTGATCAACACTGTTGTTTTTAACTGGGGTTCTTCTACCATTGTAATAATTTTGTTGCATTATGTAAAGTAAAAATGATGAAGAAACCGCAGATACGGATTAGCAATATTTATTTTTAAAAACCTGAATTTTGCTCAGAATAAATTCATTATCTAGTGTCGTTACAATAAAGAGGTTAAAAATACACGCGTATCACATGAATTTAACTTTCAATATACATCAAGAACTAGGTTTAGAGTAAACCGTAACAACTCTTTGTAAGTGTCATAGTCATTCGTTCCCTATGGAAATTTATATTTAATATATTAACTATTTATCTTCAATTTACAGAGGAACTTCTTTCCATTAAATTGAGCTCAAGCGAATACCTAGAGAAACTGGTGGATTACGCCATGATAAAAATCTACGCTTTGGCCACAGTGATGGAAACGCAGCAAGCTTGGTCTGGTGAGGACGATTTCGTACTGGACAAACCGAAGTTGAGTCTTGAGGTAAGTTCAGATATAAACAATACCAAGTCTCTTCTTGAACTTATAACGGTAGAAACTAAAGATTCGGTAACTTATACTAAAATACATGATAAAACCTCGTTAATGAAATGTACTCTTCTTATTCTTCAACTCAGGTCCACGGAACTCCTGAGGTTGGAAAACCATTTGAGTTAGTTATCAGTTTCCAAAACCCACTTAAACGTATTCTGGATGATTGTGTATTCAATATTGAAGGGCCGGGACTTGCAGGGCCGTATCATTCAAAGTTCAGGTGAGGAAAATGTGCAGTCTTGTGTCATAAAATAAATTAAATATATGACTGAATTTGATTTTAAACAAAATGTTTTTAAAACTGTCCGTGTTTAAGGAACCAAAGAATGTCATTCGTCTTTGTTTTATAATAAGTGCAAATTAATGCTATAACGATTGTAAAATAAACAAATTCAGCGTGAGAGACGTTGATAAATAAGAGAAATGATTAAAATCCGTGTAAGAAAAGAAAACTATCCTTCTGAGCACAACATTTGTTTCTTATACAGTGATTTTAGTCTTTCTTATAATATAATTTAGGCAGAATCTTAGTTTAGAAACCACTTAGATGTAATTTACGATCTAGTTTAGTTGAACAACACTCGATTAGAGACTAGTTATAATTAATTTTCTAGTTTAACATCGAATCCTAATAATGTTGCCTGTTTAACAACATCTAAAACAATGCAAACAGGATATAATTTTTTGTGGCTTTCTAAATTTGAGAATAGTATGGTTATATTATGTTGTTCTCATAAGAGAAATTTGTATCTTTATAGGGATATCAAACCAGGAGAAACTATAACTCATAGCGAAAAACTCGTCCCGCAGCAGCCTGGCTCTAAGAAAATATTCGTCACTTTCAGCTCTCGGCAGCTCATCCAGCTTATGGGATCAAAGCATATTGAGGTGATCCCAAAATCCGATCCAAGCCACAACGAGATTTTATGAGTTCTATCCTGAATTACTCTTTGGGATACACGAACGGCGTTGTAAACTTTACATTATTGAATTGTATTGATTCATTAATATACTCTTATTTCTATGTAACTTATAAATTGCAGGGATCACTTTTTATTTATTTTTTCCTGCTTTTTAATTTCAATACTGTATGATACAGTATTTCTTGGATTGTTTCATATATCTTTTGGAAGTCTTGAAGGTTAATGTTATACTTATACCACTTACGTTTAACGATGGAGCAATTCTAACTTAAAATATGATTTTACATGTTTACTGCTTGGATTGCATATTTGTTTCCATCCAAACACTTAATATCTATTTCTTATTTTTCAAATTACGTATATATTTATTTATTTATATATTTATTTATTTATATCCCGATTATACTTGTAAGCTGGCGAAGCATTATTATAATAAGTTATACCTGTCATAGGACATTAGTAATAATATCTAATAGTAATAATTAGGATCACATTCATAATATTAATGTCTTATGACAAGTATAATTATTTCACTACTGGTTGAAAATCATTCTTGTACACTTTGATAATAACGATTTCATTGTGAATTAAACGTTTGTTAAATAAAATCAAATGAATATAGTATCTTTCTGAATTAATTCGTGAAGGCTTGTGTGCCATTAAGTATGTACACTTCTAGCGTTAATTTCTTGTGAGGACCACAAAGAAAACTGAATAATAGAAAAACATTTTAATGAAAATTGCCAAGACATGTCATGATTCGATAACATGAGAAGCGAGTTGTGCTGGTGTAATCAAATAACGATTTTAATTTCAAGATCTAATCACGTTAAAGCACGAGAAAAACTCCACTTTAAATATAACTCTAAAACTTTGCTTCATGTCTATATTTAACTATTGGTATAATATTTAAAATTAATAATAATTTCTAGTTACTTACTTTTTAAAAAAGGAAATAACACTGTTTGACAAGAAAACGTAAGGTATATATATTTATAGTTCACAATAAATACGGTTAATAACAATAGTCTTTTTCAATGAGATGCATATCAGCCCTGAATCTCTAATGAAGTTTAAAATGGTTTGTTTTTTCTGCTTTGATGTGTAGTTTCACCTTTCTTAAAACAAATGATACACCTTAACGATACCCATTATGATTTAACTAGGTTTATACGTTTGTATTATAGCTTCATTACAGCCGTGGTCAAAACTTGTGAATATACGTTGAATTTGTAATATGTATCTGAAAACAAATATGCCATTTTTCTGATTGGTTAGGTAAGAATACAATAAAATTCAAAACCTAGATAAAAATTATAATTATATAGAAATATTTGATATGCGAAGTTCAAAGTAATATACGTCATGCCAAAACTTCCTCTAGCAAAAAAAAGACTCAATTAAAATATTAAAAACAAAGCCTATAACACTACCCTTCCCTAGATTTTGAAATCCCTTGAATAATCCTAATACAGAAATGAAACAAAAATATGTTAAATTTAAAAATGCATATTTATTAATAGCACCATGATTTACAATTATGAAGATGTAATATCTACTAATGGAATTATTATTACTAAATTAAACGTGAACTAAACAATATCTTTTCTTCTAACCTGTTCATTCATCAAATCTTTTTGACGTTTTTTTTTTTTCTTTTCCGTGGCTTATGAAACGTGGACGACATGATCAATGTCTTTTGTTGCCATTTTCTATCTTATCACTTGGAGATAGTTGAATTATTTTATGGCCGTATTCCTGTTAATAATCTGGAAGTGATTTCGACAGGACATACAGGTTGTCCAGCAGGTTTATTAACTACTGACGAAAGCTTTGCTGAAACTATAAGAATTCGCTGTTTTCCTGTGACATCTTTCCAAAGACGATCAGAAAACTTGATACTTGGCTTGGACCACCTATTCTTCTGGATTGTGTTTTGCTACACTCCAGGTCGACTTTCCTCATGACCCTGTGCACCAGTCTTTGTAGTTATTTGATATTCAACCTTTAATGGTCTCGTGGTCTGGTTTCTTTAAATAATGAACTTGTCATCTCATTTGGAGCAGATGGAGTTTTTTTTATCTGAACCTCGCCTGTAATTCCGTTTAATTCCTATTTTTTGATGTCTGATTTACTGTTACTTTGATTTGTTTGGGCTCTAGGGATTGTCATTATGGTGTTGTCTCCTTGGTTTATTATCATCTGTTGATTCCTCACGCTCTTACAATGATGGCTATGTTCTCAAATTTATAACAGTTCTCTTTTACTGACATCCTTTGGACATCCTTTTTATTCTCTACTAGCTTTTGTCAACAGATACTGGCAACATGTCCTTTTACGATATTGTCGAAACACCCTTTGTTTTATGGTTTCCTTCTTCCATTCTGTGTAACTAATTGTTTAATTAATCATTTTAGTTTTACTAGAATACCACCAGAGGGAGTTAATGTTTCCACTTTGCTTGATCTGATTATCCTGTAACTTCTGAATGGTGTCTTTAAGTTCAAGTTCTATAGCCAACTGTGGAGCTTCCTTGATGTGCATATAATTTGCTTTAGGATATTCTCATGTATTACGTCATTTATGAATCAATCGCGAATCAAAATCCATCATTTTACTTGGAGTATCCGTATAAGATAATAGGGGAAGCTTTTCCACAAGTTCGGCTAAGGTTTCGTCATTACTTCTTAGCCTGTTCCTGAACTTTGGTTTGGGAATTTTTGTTTGTTTGTTTATCATTACAAACCTGTTTGATAAGGCAATCATCAATGCTTGTTAGTTGTTATGGTTTTAAGCTAGAAAATTATTAATGTTGTTAAGGCTTCTTCCTTTAAGCGATCAACAAGATGAAAACTTCTTGTTTACTATCTCATGCCCCCTCTTAGTAGGACAACTGTATGTCTGCAGACTTAGAACGCTAGAAACCAGGTTTCGATACCCGTGGTGGGCCGAGTACAGATAACCCATTGTGTAGCTTTGTGCTTAATTACAACCAAAAATGTATCTCATCCATTAACTTTTGAGATTATTTTGAACTGAGCCTTTTATCCCTTACATGGTACCCTTCCATCATAGTCTGTTTTCTCTATTAGACAAAGTTATTGAACTAACCTGAAAACTCTGTGAGTGATTGAGATAATGATAGATCCGTAATATTCCAGGAAATGACTGCTGTCATAGAGGACAAAGATGTACTGATAACAGTTGTCGATCTTTTTAGATTGTTGTTTTTTAGCGCATAGCTACACAATGAGCTAGCTGTGTTCTGTTCACCGTGGGGAATCAAATCTCAGATTTATTCAATCTAATTATGGAAATCTACTGTTGGCACACAACAATTGTTGACGAAATGGTTTATGTTATTCCATATTTCATAGTTAAAAGTGTTGTGAGAATTGAATACATGAATAAATGCAGAGAAAGGTGTTACTGATTCGTTCCTTGGATTTTCCAAATTTTTTATTCTGTTACTGAATTTCTTTTCTACCCCATTGATTTTGTTGTTTTAATCTTTCTTCATTGTATCTCTTTATACTTCTTCAGTTTTGTCATTACAAGCTTTCCGCACTTCGTTGATGCGATTTTTGTACATTGTCAATTTTGTCATTACAGTTTTTATGTACTTCAAATATATTTTTATACTATTTCACTTTTGCTGTTATAAACATTTCTGCACATCCTCAGTAACTTCTTCGATCTTGTCTTCAACTAAATATATATCTTTGTTCTTGATTATTCTTTAAATAATTTCTTTTAATTCCTGTCTCTTACCTCCTGTTCATCTATTAATTCTCAGTCTCTCTCTTCTTGATCTTCTTTTAAATTTCTGTCTCTTTCTTCTTGGTACTCTTTTAACGGTGTGTCTCTTGCTAATTGTTCTCCTCTTCACTGTTTCGTTATCTCAGGCAACTTTTCCATCTAACTTGGAGCACGTGGCGTCATCTTGAAGTTTATTCTAGATTTTATTTTATTTTTACCAAAGTAAGCCTACTTTCGAGACCAGTATCGTTTCTTTGTAATTAAGCACAAAGCTACACAATGGGCTATCTGTGCTCTGCCCAACACTGGTATCGAAACCCGGATTCTAGCGTTGTAAGTCCGCAGACATACCGCTGTGCCACTGGGGGGCGACCAGTATCGTTACGATTCCTATCGTTTTGGCGAGTTCTTGTTGATTATTCGGTAAAACATAAAGTAAAGTCCAGTCTGTAAATTTTAAGTTATTGTAATATCTCAATATTTTATCAGCACTATGTGAAATTTCACACAATCAACTCAGTACTATAGATTTTGCTGTAAAATTAAGTTTACTTGGACAGTTGAATGGGTAAAAGGCATACATTTTTGATAACTTCAAACAATGACTGTATGGTATTGTTGTAAAATTCCATATATATTGTTCATATATGCTATTTTTTCTTGATATAATTGTAGCGAATTGCACCACTTTTGCTTCTTTTCCACGCTTACCTGCTCTGTCCAGGAATCACGAAATCTTCATGTGCTCACTTTCCTAGAGCATTCGAGACGTCTCCGAGTGAGTATAAAAGGAGCGGGGTCAGTAGCCTTTCACTCACTCAGTTGATCACTTCGCCTTGTTCCGTGCACAGTCAAATAAAGTCTGATCTTCTTCTTCGCATCATGCCCGCGATATAATCAAATTCTGCAAAATCTTTTAAACTCTAGTTCTGTAAACATAAATTACTTCATATTTTTTAGAAAATCATTTGAAAAGCTGCCTGCCTCCAGTTCAAGTAAAGTCCGAAAATGCAAAAACCACCCAAATAGTTTCTGCTACATTTGTGGAAAATATATTACAGTCTCACGAACGTAAAACATCACACGCGAGTTAAAGGTAGCTTACTTCCACTATTTTGAGTGTAAAACTGGTGACTAATGTGTGTTGTTCAGTTTGCATACCTGGCTTGACACAATGGCTGAATAAGAAGAGAACAAGTATGCCATTTACGGTTCCCATGATATGGCATGAGTCCAAAGATCATCTAACTGACTGTTATTTTACACGAGTAGTGTTTCTGAATATCCAGGCAAAACTAAACAATACATTAAATATCCATATATTGCATCACCAATGAAACCAGTACCTCACGGGAATGTTCTTCAGGTGTCACATCCACCAGCGAATTATTGCATCACCAATGAAACCAGTACCTCACGGGAATTTTCTTCAGGTGTCACATCCACCAGAGAACTATTGCATCACCAATGAACCAGTACCTCACGGGAATGTTCTTCAGGTGTCACATCCACCAGCGAATTATTGCATCACCAATGAAACCAGTACCTCACGGGAATGTTACTCAGGTGTCACATCCACCAGCGAACTATAAAGCCCATTATTCATAATGAGGACCAAAAACACCCCAATTTCTTTTTTGCTTCTAATTTACATAAAAAAGGTTAATAATGTATTCCAAATTATAAAAACAAATCTTCATCGTGATTATTTGGTGTGAAGTTTCTAAGACTAAATACATGAAGTTATTCTTTCTTAATGCTATTTGAACTGTCATATGTCTCTGTATATTATCAGTGTCTCTCTGTACGATATGTTTTCAAGTGAGTCAAGCATCCTGACTTGTCTTCTTTCTCTCTCTGTG